ATTTTGTAGGGAGGGGCGAGAAGAAGATTGATCTACGCTGAGAGAATCAAAAGTGAGTTGAAGTGACATTATTAAGGCAATTCCTCTGTGAAGTCAGGATTTTTTTTTTTTTGAGGAACATTAGCCCTGAGCTAACTGCTGCCAATCCTCCTCTTTTTGCTGAGGAAGACTGGCCCTGAGCTAACATCTGTGCCCATCTTCCTCTCCTTTATATGTGGGATGCCTACCACAGCATGGCTTGCCAAGTGGTGCCATGCCTGCACCCGGGATCCGAACCAGCGAACCCAGGGCTGCCAAAGCAAAACATGCACACTTAACCGCTGCACCACCTGGCTGGCCCCATGAAGTCAGGATTTTGACCATGAGAGATACACTTACCTAACTCTAAGGTCCGCATAGAAATTTCCACCAAGTTCAAATCTGTTTCATGTTTTTTGAGAGAATGGTCACATTTTCTCAAAAGCCCAATTTAGAACAGGCTGAAAGTCAAGGGAGAGGTCATCTCTAGAAAAATTTTCCCCTGCTTTTTGCCAAACACAAAATGTTTAAATCCCAAGCTCATTTGTTGGGAGAATGGGTAGCCTTTTTGTATTGAGTTTGCCTGAAATAGTGCTCACTGAATGCTCTTGGGATGTCTATGAAGAAAATGACAGGTAGCTTGTACATGGAGGCACCCTCTAAACAAACAAGTTAATGAAATAAGGAGAACCACGAAGAGAAAAGATTCAGTTTCCAGGGACTGCCTGTGCCACACAAGAGGATTAAACCGTGAGGGCTCGAGGTAGCTGGCTTCCACTGCTCTGCCTCTGATCCCGTCCAGCTCCGTCCTGAGCCAAAGGCCCTGAAAACACCTTCACTGAGGGATGTTCAGTTCTCCACTTCATGCCCAACACTCACGATCCTACTTTGTTATCAAGCTATTTATTTCTAAGAAAGACTCCTCTACAAATACACTAGTAGAAGAGAGGTATGACAGATGTGGCATCAGCCATCAAATATCTGCCAGACTGGTCATAGTTTGGTACCCAATAACTCTTTGTTCATTCAAAATAGAAAATATACTCAGTCTTCTAGTTCTCTGATATAGTCGACCCATGCATCGCAATGTTTTTAAATTTTATTTCTCATCCAGTTTTCTTAGTTGTTTATCTTCTTCAAGCACCCATATGGAGGATTAACATTTTCTCTATGAAACTATTTACTATGGCAGTAGAATCAGGTAGGTCTAATGCATGAGGGCTTAATTATTGAAGCCCCAAAGGATGTCCATATAAAACAATGGTTGTATATGGAAGGCACGTGACATAGACCCCAAGGACTACATAACCAGTTAGGCTCCAATAGGCTATATTGTTCGTAAATCTACTTAATCTCTTTCAGGAAAATGTTATAAGCTTATCCCAGAACACAAAAACTCACTTTTGTTAGAAAGTTATTATCAAGCTCTGGAGAGTCAGAGAACTATGTTTGATAACATTTTTCCATTACAAACGTTTCCTGTCAGAGATACCATATTTTTCCAAATGGGTGGGCCAACTGTAATTCTGCGCTAAAATTCTGCTTTCTACCAGTTCCCCAGGCGTTTTCTGATTATGGCCTTTAACAAAGTTGGCAACAACGGCGAATGCAGGTTCACACCGAAGTATGTATATAAATGCGTTTCCAAATGGGTTTAGACCCTTCTGTGGAAAGGGCCTGAAGTCTCCTAAATAGAAAAATCTTCAAGTAAATCAGAGCTGACTTAACGAGTTTGGAAAATGGTAGCAGGGCTTAGTGACCTATCAAACCACAGCCAAGGCCACATTTGAACACCTCCCCACTCCCAGATTAATTTTATTTCTGTCACTCTCTTCACCTTAAAAATTCCTTCCATTTAGCAAAATCAGTTCCATTCAGGAGAACAAATACATTGTGACTTCTGTTCCTGGTACTTCCCCGTGTGCAGTGATGGAAAATACAGTTTTCGTTTTTCCGCCCTGCAGCTGAGGGACCTGCGGGGTAATGAAATGAGTTATGCCTCCTCCTCTCCCGAAGCCCCACGTTCTCCTAGGAGAGCACTCATGTAGCATATGCCGGCTCCCCCAAGCGGAGACCATTTTCTCGCAGGCGGGCAGTTGAGCCTCCTTTCCCATAAGCTGACTGCTACCTTGGCGCCAGAGCCCTTCCTGGGCGGAGGGCCGGGCACTCACCTGCAGCCCGTCCTCTCCTTCCCGGGCGGGGCCTTGCAGCGTCACAGCGCGTCCAGCAGATGGCGCCGCAGCTGAATTTTCGCGAGCTGCTCTCACGCCTGTAGAAGAGTCTGGAATAAACAGGAAAGGGAATTTTTTTTTTAAGCATTCTAATTTTCAACATCTATTGCCTTCTCTGTCGAGACAGAGGCTCTTTTTATTTGACTAAGTGGAAATGCATGAGAGATGTTTAAAAAAAGCAGTGATTTCGAAAGCCCAAATACATGTTATTTTACGATTTCCACTCTTTCCAAGCACTCAAAAGCAAGTTTTCAAGGGGCATAAACTGTCACACGAGCATAGAGGTTCAGAAACGTCAGCAGCCGGCGCTGGGTGAAGAACGGCTGCCTCAAAACAGACCACAAGGCGTGGCAGGGTTGGGGGGCTGGGTGCGCACCATGGGGCCGCGGCGGAAGTGACCTTCATGGCGGGCGGGGCGGTGGCCGCGGGCGCCTCGAAAACAGCGCCGCCTGCTGGTGACAAGGGAGAGAGCTCGGCTCTCGCCAGAGGCTGCGGCGTCGCTCCCGGGACCGCGGAGACCAGACAGGCTTTCTAAACACCGTTGCACTCACGATGTTGCACGTTATGCCCCCTGCCCAACAAAACTGAAAGTAATGGGCACAACCAGAGCAGACTTTCTGTGGAGAAGAGAACTGAGAGCCCTGTTAGCGTTTGGGTATACAGTGTTTCAAAGGGCCTGACGGCTTTTAATGCTTCCTAAAGCTAAAAAGGGTGGGTTTGATTTTTATGGTATAATTATTTAAAACAATCTTGAAAGAGAGTGAAAATAGAACCCATTAGAAGCTCTCTTTCATTTAGCCTATCCTGCTTTTAAATTACTTACAAAATATTAAGAGAGGTTATTGGAAGCAAACTGGAAAAATTTGCGGGCGGGGGTTGAGTTTCAAGGTGATTGTGCTTATCATTTCTCTCCCCTCATTTTTATTCCAGGATTGTTGCAGTGCCGTTTCTAGAGTCCCTCCTCCTCTCCCCACTTCCTTTTTCTCTTCATTCATTTGACAGGAGCCTCTGCAACCATCTGCTTAGAACACGTCATCGTCATCCACTGGGAGAGAATTGTGGTACCACCTTTCTCCCCCTATGGCTGAAGCCCACAGAAAGAAGATGACGGGTTGCGCTTCTGCTCTTGAGCCAGCGCGGTTGCCGGGAATTGTGACCTGCAAGATGATGCCAAAGTGCAGCATCTCCCTTTTTATGCTACAGAGAGCTTTATGTTGCCCTTCATTAAGCTGAGGTTTTCTCCTCCAGGGCCCTGTCCTTCACGTTGTGCAAATGATGCACTAATAACTTTCTCGTCCCTTCCATTTGCAGAGATTCAGAGTATTACGTGTAAGAATTGTGCATCGCCATTTTTCTTCTAGTAAGGGAGTGAAGACCCAGGTGGACGGTTTCATTTGGACTAGTCATGCAGTTTTCAGGTCCCTGTTCTCTGACATGAAAATTCCCACCTCCCATCAGGGCATAGCTGTAGGCATAAATTGTAGACTCTGGTTCAAAACAAGGTCCTCTCTTTTGTCCAGTAGCACCAGAAACACCATAATTAGGAACCCAACTGGAACAGAAGCCTTCTTGAGGGTCTCGGAGAAGGAAGGTTGGGCCCCTAAGTCCTGTCTGTGACCTCTTAGGCTGTAGCCTTCACATTCTGGATCGAACCAGATGAGCACTGAGAGGGCAGTGTTTGGAGGACAAAGAAGAGCAATGGATATACAGTAACATAGTGAATCAAGGACCGGATCCAAGACAATGCCTGACATTTGTTTATCCACAGAGAAACAGAAGTAAAGGAGGGGAATGTGTCCCTAAGTGTTACTGTGTTATAAAAGTGTCCTTCAGGGAGGGGATACATGAACAGGGCAGCTGATAACACGAATACTGTGCAGGCAGGCACCCGTCTGCCCACATCCTCAGGACTGCTGAACCCAGTGTTGCTAATCAGCAGGGACACAGCTCTGAGCCTCGCCTGCTGCAATCCTCCGAGGGAGGTGGCTCACACAAAGCAAAGCAGCTTCTGGAGGGGGAGGGGCGCCCGCTTTCTCTTTGTTCTTTCTTGGAAAATGGGCTCTCTCTCAAGTCTCGCTACACCAGCTGCTTCACCTCCTGGAGGAGGGCAAAATAAATTAATCGCCAATAATGATTTGGACAGCAGATTTTTGGAGCCCTGAACTCTGTGAAACGCGGGGTCAAACTATTTTTAGAATTCTAACATGCCATGAGTTTTTATTCTGGGTTTCTAGGCAAAAACTTCAGAAAGGTGCCCCTCTTTATCAAATAAAACTAAAAAGGTGGCCTTCAGAAAGGGGTGGAGACAAGAGTGTTTTGAATCCTACTTAACCTAATAATTACATGTCCTGCACCTTACACCTAAGAATCTCTTTCTTGGGGCTAGCCCATGGCCGAGTGGATAACTCCTGCACTCGCTTGGGTGGCCCCGGGTTGCGCTGGTTCGGATCTGGGTGCAGACATGGCACCGCTCATCAGGCCATGCTGAGGCAGCGTCCCACATGCCACAACTAGAAGGACCCACAACTAAAGTACACAACTATGTACTGGGGGGCTTTGGGCAGAAGAGGAAGAACAAAAAGAACCTCTTCCTCACAGAGGTATGATTTAATGAGCAAATTCCTTTGTCTGCTAAGAAATCCCTTCAGCACTAAGAGGGCTCCCTGAGAAATCACACTGTTTTACACTATAAGTGATTTTTTTCTCATAAGAATGATTTCACATAGCTCCTTTGAAAGTAAAGACATTCAGAATTGTCTATCCCTGACTTAAGTGTGGAAGGAATTAAGACAGAGGGTGTCTGTTCTTGTATCAGGAATAGGCGTGCCACTCCCCAAGCACTCAGAGCATCTGCTGCCTGGACTGATTCTTAAACCAAAAGCCACACATGGCTTCTGTGCTTGACAGCTGAGGTGGCCTTTTATGTCCAGTTGGAATTTCAGTTTGGGTCGGCTGGAATGGGTTCACATACACACCAGAAGATGGACTCTGTGGGTCAGAGAAAGCTTCTGGGGCTGAGACAGACTAGGCTGACATTGTGCAAATACTACAGGTTTATTTCTTGGGAATTTACCCCCCAAAATAAGGTACTTTCAGTGCCTTCATGTGGCATCCTCAGGCTCTTTAAGCCAGTCCCTACTCTTTGGGGATTTTTATCTGCTCACTAAATATCAGCTATTTTGTCCAGATTAACAGAATATCTGCACATTGCTACTCAACCAAGCCTTAGGCCATGTGGAGAGCAGTTCCTCTGGGGAGGCTGGCAAGCTCATTCTCTCCAGTAGTCTCAAGAGGAAGTGAGAGCAGCCCCCAGCCAGGAAACCAGCACTGGGTTAGCGGCTGATCTAATGGCTCAAGTTCTACAGGTGAGGTCCAGGTGGGCTTCTAAAATAATTCTGAAGCTAGATAAGGAAGGAATAAGCAGGTGTTAAAGGATCATATGTATATCTTTGTGATTAACAGAAAATTTTGATGAAATAGCCACTGGGCATGAATATCCATAATACCACCCTGTGTTTATGTTATTCTCTTTTACTCAGAGAGCGTATTACAGAATGCCTTTCATCTGACAGGTTCAGAGATCTCTCCAGTGTTAACTTTGCACATTAAGGCACTTCGCTTTAACAACTGTAATCACTCTGAGGGCAAGAGCCCTGTCTTGTAATTCCTTTATGCTTCACACAGTACCAAACAGGGTATCAGACATGCAGTGGGCGCTCAGGGAATACTTGCTTTAAAAAAAGAAAATGGACTAAAGGAACAATGAATGGCTGTGCTTTAACTCTGAGATTAGGCCTGCCTTGATTGTCATGTCTGAAGAAACTGGACCGTGGTACGTTACAGACAGAAAACGGAAGTGGGGATATTGCAACTTCTCTGATGAGAATAATGACAGCAGCTGACTTTCCTCTATACCAAAAACTGCATAAGTACTTTACATATATTACCTCATTTAAACCTCACCACAACCCCACAGGCTGTTCACTGTTATTACTATCCTTCTTTTACATATGACAAAACATTACCCAAGTTGCACAACTAATAAATAGTCACATCAGGACTTGAATCCAGAGATCAGTTAGCCTCCAAAGTCCATGCTTTTAGGTACATTCCTGCTCCAGAATATCTAACAACAACATGCATAGCTCCATTTACTAACCACCCTTCTTAGAGTTATTGCCTCACAACATAGTATCTGAAGTGGGAGGGAGGGTGAGCAAACACAGTTCATAACGTACCCGTTTGCATGGTTTTGATGTGCTTTCCGGTGCGTTATTTCGTTTAATCCTCACAGCACCCTGGCAAAAGTATGTCACTATTATCTCTAATCTATAAGGAATATATCTCTGGAGAACTAGTCAAATCAAAAAAGAAGTAAATGCTAAAATTCAGAAGCTGAGAGGTAACAACTCAACTGATAACTGATAACTCTACTGTGCCTCATCTCAGCCCTGAGTGCTGGTCTGGGTGCCTCCTTATGTTTCCTTCCTTTCTTACTTGTTCACACTCCAACGAGCCATCAAGCTTACACCTGTCTCTATCGGCCCCATAAATACAAATATGGTTTACGTTGATTTGCTGTGCCACTAAGTCATTTCAAAAGCAGAGGCAAGGTGCAGAAGAAACAGGAAAAGTGACAGTGCATGAAATGCTATGTAACAATTAAAAAGAATGGATTAGATTTAAATGTACTGCCATGAAAAGATCTCCAGAAGGCAAAGTAAGTAAAAAAAAAAAAAAAAAAGCAAGTTGCAGAATAAAAAGTACAGCATGGTACAATTTATATTTTAAAAAGGTTCAAAACAATATGATACAAACACATACATCTATGCAAACACACATAGAAACAGTTGGTTGTGTCCCAAATTGATAAGCGGTTTCTCTGGGGAGAGGATGGGAGTGGCGTGGGGTGCGCAGCGTTGGCAGAACTTCCCTTTATCGTTTTACAAGATAATTTACTCAAATAGCGTGCACGTAAAAGAAAGAAGAGAGAAAGAAAGCACAGAAAAGAAACAAGTGAGGCTGTTAGAAAATAAAAGGTTAGCAACATGCCGTAAAGTACAGTAAGTGGTACAAAAACACCACACGAAAATCCGCTGCCTCATTCATGTCCATAAGAGACCGAGAGATTGGAAGAGAGTCCTCATGTTGGCATTATGATTATGAACCAGCTGATTTTAGAAATGTAATGTCTCCTGACTCTACCAGAAAGACAGAGCAGAGAAGTACACTAGACTTGGAGCCAGATGACCTGGGTTCAAGGCCTGACTGCATTTTTCTGTTACCTTGGGCTAATTCCTCAGGGCCGTGATTTCCTCATCTGTCGATGAAGATATTGGCAACATACTTCACAGGGTGCTTCGGAGATTAAATGAGGTAAGGCACAGGGAAGAACAGCAACATCATGCAGGTGACACTTACAGCTTATAAACCGTGTTTGTGTCTACTGTCTTCCCATTCTCTCTCTCCCACTTCAGAGAATTATTTTATCTCACACCTTTAAGATGTCTGAGACCGCACACTGAGGGAGGGTTAAATTAACAAACCATTAGTCTTCAGTCTAATTGAGGATAACAGGCCTTTCTTATTTGAGGCTTTAGATTATGCAAATACATAACTGTTAAGCTTCAATATTCATGTATTTATCCTAAGGAGTATATTTATTCGATTCCATTTATAAAACATACCCTTTTCCTGTGAAACCTACTTTTGAGTTAAGAACTAAAATATCCAAATCAGAGAGACCATTTAAAGTGTAAGCCAAAAATATAATACGAATTTTTTTGCATCTTAAAATGTGCTTGTGATCCTACTAAAATTTCAGGCAGTTCTGAAATTTCAAGAATCCAATGATAAGCCTTACAATAAAAAAAAGTTGCAAAAATAATAAGAGAAATCCTATATACCACCAACATAATTAAACACAAAAGAGAAACATGGACAGATTAATAAATATCAGTTGCATGCACACAGCCCTATGTCCAGGCTGCGTGATGTAACTATTTTCAATTACAGCCTCACCTTTGAAACAGAGCCAGGTCCTCCTCTGCTTTTGCTGGATGTGCATGTGCTAAAAAGCGCAGGGACCTGAAGATTTCTGGTGAAGTAAACAAGAATCCAGTTTAAGTTGTTTTGCAGTTTGAGTTCAGAAAGGGTCGACTTGAAGGAACCTACTCCAAGCACACAAAGCCCACGTCCCTCCCAAGCTCCTCCACCCCATTTCACTGGGCTGTCACTTTAGAGCTGGGCACCCATTGTTCACTTTCTTCCACTCTAATTAGACTTGACAGATTGCTCTTTCTAGCTAGACTGGCTACTGCCAAGAACGGAGAGAAGAGATGAGGCTGACCTTGTCATTATGCCCTTGGGATCAGTGCCCCACCCCCACCCTGGTCCACAGACACTGAAATGCATCCCCAGCAGCTCACATCTGTTCCCCTTCTCCTCCTCCAGGTTCGTTCTCACTTGCCTCCTGACATTCTCAGCACCACTGACTTCGCTTTCAATACTGTGAGATTCAAACCCTCGTTTGCTGTGGGAGTGGAATAAGTGTGCTCTAATATTTTTCATATTAATTCTATGGCCCTTGTTTCCTGCAGGCCTGGAGGGAAAAAATAGACCAGTTTTTCTAAAGGGAAAGATACTGCAGCGCCACTGGGGAGCCGGGAAACACGGATTGCTTCATGAAGGAGAGCTCAGAGAGGATTCCGGGCCTGGCGCTACCTCCACGTGTCTGAAGCAAATGCCTTGCCCCGCTGTGCTCAGTTTCCATATCTGTAAAATGCCATCAATAATTCTTGAATCTTCATCATATCAAAAATATGTTATACTGGTATTATATAAGAATTAGATAATAAAATGATAGAGCTGGAAATGATCTTAGAGATCATCTAGTCCAATGTCTTCATTTGGAAGATTAAAAAATAGCCCAAAAGAGGGAGGTGACATGCACAGTGTCATGAAATTAGTTCACAGACTTAAAACACCTGGCACTGAATAATAGCTTGCTAATTAGCTTCGTCACTCACCTGCCTTTCCCCAGTTTATCCTATGCTTGATAAGAAACCATATTGGCCAGGAAAGCAACTTTCTTTCTCCAAGGAAGGAATTCTCCTCACCCAAGGACTATGTTTTCAGAAATGCTTCCCTTTACTGAGAATTCCATGGTTTTGTAATAGAAGCTAAGTCACCCAATGCTGCATGACTCCCCTTGGGGTACAGGATGGAACTCAACAGGCTGGAGGTCTGGGGCCCTGCTCTCAAATATGAGTGGCCCTGTCCTTGACCTAAGTCTGACTGTGCCCACGGCCTCAAGAGCTGTGAGCAGGATAGACTGTTACGAATTTCTTCTTGGAACAAATCTAAAGTTTCCCAGGTTTTAATGTAACCGATTCATTTATTGTTCATTCACCTACTCACAAGCATTTTTTAAAAGCCCATTTTTTGCTAAGTCCCTGGGGCTGATAAGACTACTATGATGAGTAGGACTCAGCCTCAAGGAGCCTCAAAAGGAGCCAGCAGTGTAAACACTATGTGCAGTGGAGCACTGTGGAGGCCAGGATGGAAGGAGGAAATGGTCAATTTTCCTTCGTTGGGATTTAAGGAATCAAAAAATGTCATAGAGGAGGTGATACTTGAGCTGAGCTTTGGGAAATGAAGGTTATTTTCCAGGCGGAAGTGAGGCAAGTACATGGCATGCAGACAGAACATGAGCCTAGCATTTCGGGGAAAAGAGAAGTTTTTGGCCTGCATAGTATGAGGAAGCATCAAGCAAAGATGAGATTGGAAATTTAGGTAGAGATCAGTGAAAACATTATATGACACAGGAAGAAGTTTGAATTTTACCATGGCAGCTCGTGGGAACCAGTGATGAGTTTCAAACAGGGAAATAACATGATCCAAACTGCATTTTAGGAAGATGGCTCTGATGGCAATGTGGAGAAAGGATTGGGGAAGGGGAGGGAAGGAGCAAGACCCAAGGCAAAGAGACTTTAGGAGACAAGTAGAAAAATTTAGGTGAGCCAAGACAGCTGACCCAGTCTCTTTAAAAGTCAACAGGAAGGATGAAAAGGAGGGGACTGTTTTTGTTTCCAAGAGACTTCAATTACATGCAATGTGTGGACCTTGTTTGGATCCTGATTCAAACAGCCCAAATGTAAAAAGAAAATCTGGAAGACAAACAGAGTATTAGATAATATTATAATAGGCATTCTTATTAATTTTGTTAGGTGTGATAATGCTACTGTGGTAATATAAAACAGCATATTGTAATGTTTTTGGGGGAGATACCATAATATCTGGATTTGCTCTAAAATACTGTAGAAATATTGGATGAAGTATCTATGGCAAAAAGTTAATAATTATTAAATCCAGAGGATGGACATGTAGGGGTTCATTATACTTTACGTACATTTGAAAATTTTCAATATAAAAAGCTAACATTCTAGGCAAAGGATAATGAGATCCTAAATTAAAGAAGTTACAGTGAAAATGGAGTGAAGGAGAGAGCTAGGAAAGATAGTAAAAAGGCAAAATTAACAATACTCTGACTGGTTAAAAGTGGCCATTGAAATTGAAGAGTCGAAGTGATTTGCAGGCTTTTGCTTGGGGGCCTGGATACATGGGAAAGAGTTTATTCTTTTGAGCATGTGGAATTAGAGTTTTAGCAAAACACTGAGGTAGTGCTGTCCAGTAGGCAGTTAGACACATAGATTTAGAGCTCAAGAGAGAGCTTGTGGCTGGTGGTGTTGATTTGCGAGCTGCCAGCTCACTAACACATGAGTGGTGATTCAAACCATTGGAAGTGCATGGCAGGTGAAGAGGGAAGATGGCTGAGGAAGAAGCTCAAGGCAAACTTAAGAAGTGGGGAGAGGAAGAACACACAAAAGAGACTAAGAAGAATAGCTACAGGAAAATGAGCAGAAAGAGGAAAAAACAATTCCTGGAGAGTCTGTCAAGAAACAATGAGTCAAGAGAATCAAATGCCCCAAGTTAAAATATAAACTCATTGCATTTAGCATCTAAATGACAACTATCAAAGAACTTTCAAGAGAGTGTAATGTGCTGAAAAGTGAATGAAGGGAGAGTAAGCAGAGCCTGGAAGATGGAGGAGGGCTGGATGGCGTGGTCCTGACAGGAGTAGGGAATTGGCAGGGAGGTGACTAGAAATGATTTGCAAATAGGCAAGCTCTGGGTCCAATGGGATGATCAATAATGTCTCTTCAAGGGGGATTGGTTGAAGTGGCTTCCTGAGAGGAAAAAGACAAGTTTCATTTAAGGCAAGGAGAAGGAGGGTGCATTCTGTAAAGAGGTTAAGAACGTAGGCAGGGTGCAATAGAACAATGATTCCAGAGGGCGCTGTGGAGAGAGTTTACAGGAGGGCAGAAGGGGATGCTTTTCACCTCTGGCTGGCGTATCTTAGCAACCTCTTCAATGGTCTCCCAAATACAATTCTCTTCACACCATACCCTCTTGCAGGCATCAAATTTGGAAAATGTTTGCAAAATACAGCCTTGATCATGTCAAACCCTTGCCCCAAAACGTTCCTTAGCTCCCAATACCTTCTGAATTAGGTATATTATAGGTATTTAAAACCCTTCCATAATCTGATCCCAAACTACTTTTTTCAGCTTGATCTCTTTGGGTTTGTTTTGTTTTATTTTGTTTTCCTTTTCATGAACCTTCCTTCCAGAATGCCAGGCTATTCATTATCCTCTGAACATACTAACTACATGAAATAGTATAGAAAAATAGCTGAGAAGTGTCTAGCATACAGCGGCATTCAACAGATGTTAGTTTTTGGATACTGAACTATTTATAATTCCCCTCCAACCATTTCATGCAGTTCTCTTTACCCTAAAGTCTCTTTCCACCTTTCTTCATGTCATACGGCAAGATTCAGTTCAGATGTCATCTATTCTAGGAAGCCTTTCCTGGGTTCTCAGGCTGGTCTGGGGTGCCATTGTCTGGGTTTCTGCAGCACCTCCCCTTCTCTTAACGCTCAGCCTATTAGATCTGCTTATATGTCTGTCTCCCTCATTAGAGTATAAGTATCCCAAAGGCCAAGGCTGTATTTTTTTTTACATATTTATAGCATCACTACCTAGCACAGTACATGGCATTATATATACCAAAAAAAAAAATGTATTGAACACAACTTTGTTCCCTTTTCTCTTTTCTTTAACTGCCTTTTTATATGATGTATGATATAGTTTCTTACGTGATATCCTCAGTCTACTCCTGAACGGCAGTGGACATTGTTTTTGTCACCCCAATGTCCCTTCCTGCTCTTCTGGCAACAGGCCTGATTTTCTTTGTGGATTCTCTGCTCTTGGTCTTTGTGATCTGGATGGGGCTCACGCCGCCCCTGGCCCAGGGTGGAGGACCACACACAGGCCTATAGCAGCCAGTTATTCTCCCATTCCTGTGGCCTCACTGATTGGTTTGGGTAAGTATGTGCTCTAAGCCTTTCCAGTCAGAGTAAATCTCAGGACTTTCTTCAGAGTTACTAGAAGAGAGGTTCTTCTCTCTCTCTCTCTTTATTGCTCTCTCTCTACTTCTGCTGGACATGGAGTCAATAGGGTGCAGGGTCATTTGATACCACAAGGGAGAAGCCTGTCTGAGAATGAAGGCAATAGTTGGAGAGAACACAACCAAGAGAAAGAGAGTCCTGGTGATGTAAACATAGCTGAATTCAGCCACACTTGGAAAGAAAATGATTGCTTGTCAGTTTGTCTTGGGTTTTCTGTCATTTGCAACAAAACCATCTTAACTGATATAATATGTGTAGGTATCTAGTACACTGCTTGACACATGAAACTACTGAATAAATGTGTATTTAATAGTTAAGTTGTTGTGAGGAACAGCAACTATTTATTTCTATAGGGCAATTTGGCAATATGTATCTACAGCCTTAAAAAAGATCAGCCTTCTGGAGATGGATGGTGGTGATGGTTGTACAACAATGTGAATATACTTACTTAACACCACTGAACTATACACTTAAAGATGGTTAAAATGGTAAATTTTATGTTATATATTTTACCACAATAAAAAAATGAATAAAAGAAAGAAAAAGATCATTAGACCAGAAATAAAGGCTTATAGTCCAGTTAACACATGAAAACATAGGGACAGGAAAGCTTGCTGCACTGTACCAATAACACTAGTAATCATTCTCTACTTTTAGAAATGCATCATAGGAAAGTAATTAGATAAGTGTATGAAGTATGTTTATCTGAGCATTATTTATGATATCAATAGGGACTGGCTAATAAAATTATGATATATTCAAATAATGGGATATTATATATTCATTAAAATGATAAAGTAGATTTATATGCCACTTCTTATGAACATATATATCAAAGTGCTAGAAATATTGGAATTATATTAATATCAAATAGTTTCACAAAAATAAGGCAAGACTTTTTATAAGATTTATGAATTGGAGCCAAATAGTTGGAAGGAAGAACATCATTCAGTAACTGGTAGGAGGTAACTGCTCACTCACAAAGCACTTGCCGTATTTCATTGAATTTCAGATACCATTGGTTGTAAGATGCTTCCTGATTTCAGAGATGTTAAAATGTGAAAAAGTATGTGTCTTGGAATTGACCAAATATAATATGTTTAGAGGCAGAAAACTATGCATGGAGATGAGTAGGATGAAGGGAAATGGGCCATGAAAATCATTAGATAAAGAAAACTCAAGAAGAAAAGAGTTTTAAAGTTTACAGAATGAAATTATTTTACACCTGGTGAAAAGAAGCTAGTAAAAGGCTTTGAGGAAGGTTATAAGATGGTCAGAAAAATATGCACTGAAGGTTAATTTTGTATCTAAACCAAAGGGAGCAATTCTCCCTGGCAATTTGGATATTAGGTAAC